AAACCAGGTCTAAACCAGGACTAAACCAGGTCTAAACCAGGTCTAAACCAGGACTAAAACCAGGTCTAAACCAGGATTTAACAGGACTAAACCAGGTCTAAACCAGGATTTAACAGGACTAAACCAGGTCTAAACCAGGTCTAAACCAGGATTTACCAGGTCTAAACCAGGTCTAAACCAGGATTTAACAGGTCTAAACCAGGTCTAAACCAGGACTAAACCAGGTCTAAACCAGGTCTAAACCAGGATTTAACAGGACTAAACCAGGTCTAAACCAGGATTTAACAGGTCTAAACCAGGTCTAAACCAGGTCTAAACCAGGATTTAACAGGTCTAAACCAGGTCTAAACCAGGATTTAACAGGTCTAAACCAGGTCTAAACCAGGATTTAACAGGTCTAAACCAGGTCTAAACCAGGATTTAACAGGACTAAACCAGGTCTAAACCAGGACTAACCAGGATTTAAACCAGGACTAAACCAGGACTAAACCAGGACTTAAACCAGGACTAAACCAGGACTAAACCAGGTCTAAACCAGGATTTACCAGGACTAAACCAGGACTAAACCAGGACTAAACCAGGACTAAACCAGGTCTAAACCAGGATTTACCAGGACCTAAACCAGGACTAAACCAGGTCTAAACCAGGTCTAAACCAGGACTAAACCAGGTCTAAACCAGGACTAAACCAGGACTAAACCAGGTAAACCAGGTCTAAACCAGGTCTAAACCAGGACTAAACCAGGTCTAAACCAGGACTAAACCAGGTCTAAACCAGGTCTAAAACCAGGTCTAACCAGGACTAAACCAGGTCTAAACAAACCAGGTCTAAACCAGGTCTAAACCAGGTCTAAACCAGGTCTAAACCAGGTCTAAACCAGGGTCTAAACCAGGTCTAAACCAGGTCTAAACCAGGTCTAAACCAGGACTAAACCAGGTCTAAACCAGGATTTACCAGGTCTAAACCAGGTAAACCAGGACTAAACCAGGGTCTAAACCAGGTCTAAACCAGGTCTAAACCAGGACTAAACCAGTCTAAACCAGTCTAAACCAGGACTAAACCAGGACTAAACCAGACTAAACCAGTCTAAACCAGGTCTAAACCAGGATTTACCAGGACTAAACCAGGACTAAACCAGGACTAAACCAGGTCTAATCCAGGGCTAAACCAGGACTAAACCAGGTCTAACCAGGTCTAAACCAGGACTAAACAGGACTAAACCAGGTCTAAACCAGGTCTAAACCAGGATTTAACAGGACTAAACCAGGTCTAAACCAGGATTTAACAGGACTAAACCAGGTCTAAACCAGGTCTAAACCAGGATTTAACAGGACTAAACCAGGTCTAAACAGGATTTAACCAGGTCTAAACCAGGTCTAAACCAGGACTAAACCAGGTCTAAACCAGGTCTAAACCAGGATTTAACAGGACTAAACCAGGTCTTAACCAGGATTTACCAGGTCTAAACCAGGGTCTAAACCAGGTCTAAACCAGGATTTACCAGGTCTAAAACCAGGTTAAACCAGGATTTACAGGTCTAAACCAGGTCTAAACCAGGATTTAAACCAGGTCTAAACCAGGTCTAAACCAGGATTTACCAGGACTAAACCAGGTCTAAACCAGGACTAAACCAGGATTTACCAGGACTAAACCAGGACTAAACCAGGTCTAAACCAGGACTAAACCAGGACTAAACCAGGACTAAACCAGGACTAAACCAGGACTAAACCAGGTCTAAACCAGGATTTACCAGGACTAAACCAGGACTAAACCAGGACTAAACCAGGACTAAACCAGGACTAAACCAGGACTAAACCAGGTCTAACCAGGATTTACCAGGTCTAAACCAGGTCTAAACCAGGATTTAACAGGTCTAAACCAGGTCTAAACCAGGGACTAAACCAGGTCTAAACCAGGTCTAAACCAGGATTAACAGGACCTCTAAACCAGGTCTAAACCAGGATTAAACCAGGTCTAAACCAGGTCTAAACCAGGTCTAAACCAGGATTTAAACCAGGTCTAAACCAGGTCTAAACCAGGTCTAAACCAGGATTTAACCAGGTCTAAACCAGGACTAAACCAGGATTTACCAGGTCTAAACCAGGTCTAAACCAGGATTTACCAGGACTAAACCAGGTCTAAACCAGGGACTAAACCAGGATTTACCAGGACTAAACCAGGACTAAACCAGGTCTAAACCAGGACTAAACCAGGACTAAAACCAGGACTAAACCAGGACTAAACCAGGACTAAACCAGGACTAAACCAGGACTAAACCAGGGACTAAACCAGGTCTAAACCAGGATTTACCAGGACTAAACCAGGACTAAACCAGGACTAAACCAGGACTAAACCAGGACTAAACCAGGACTAAACCAGGACTAAACCAGGTCTAAACCAGGATTTTACCAGGACTAACCAGGACTAAACCAGGACTAAACCAGGACTAAACCAGGACTAAACCAGGTCTAAACCAGGTCTAAACCAGGATTTAACAGGTCTAAACCAGGTCTACACCAGGACTAAACCAGGTCTAAACCAGGTCTAAACCAGGATTTAACAGGACTAAACCAGGTCTAAACCAGGATTACCAGGTCTAAACCAGGTCTAAACCAGGTTTAAACCAGGACTAAACCAGGTCTAAACCAGGATTTAACCAGGTCTAAACCAGGTCTAAACCAGGATTTACCAGGACTAAACCAGGTCTAAACCAGGACTAAACCAGGATTTACCAGGACTAAACCAGGACTAAACCAGACTAAACCAGGACTAAACCAGGATTTACCAGGACTAAACCAGGACTAAACCAGGACTAAACCAGGACTAAACCAGGACTAAACCAGGACTAAACCAGGACTAAACCAGGACTAAACCAGGACTAAACCAGGACTAAACCAGGACTAAACCAGGTACTAAACCAGGACTAAACCAGGTCTAAACCAGGATTTACCAGGACTAAACCAGGACTAAACCAGGACTAAACCAGGACTAAACCAGGACTAAACCAGGACTAAACCAGGACTAAACCAGGACTAAACCAGGACTAAACCATGCTGTATGGACCGTGTCTCCTCCCATGCATCACACTGTTAATAACCTGATTCTGCATCATTTTGAGTAAAAAAAAACATCAAATATGACAGATTTTTACTGGGCTGGCGCCTTTATGTTTGTACTGAAAGTGAGTTTTTTGTTGTTGTTAATAAACATTCTGACACTAACAGCAGCGTGGCCATAATTGAAGGCAGCAGTGATCTCATACAGAAATCATTTCTCTATCAATAATATGTTTAATTTGGTTCAGTAAAGTCTGGGCTTTTTATTTTCTTTTAGCAGATAAAACATCTTATTGAAGATTTCCTCATCTTTGCTTCTCTACAGCAAATCAAGTAATCCAAAGTATTCAGATTACATTACTCACTTTAAGTAACTTTATGGATTCCGTTACAAACTACATTTTGGGGTTTGTAATCTGTAATATGTAGGAGAATACATTTTAAAAGTCACCTTCCCAACACTTCCTGTACTACCTCATGACATCACAAGGTGGAATAGAGTTTTTCAGCTTGAGAGAAGAATTCAGTTTGTGAGTTAAACATGTGAATGAAACAAAACTCAAGTCCAGGTCTTTTTGTGGTGGGGAAACTATAATAACTAACATTATAATGTAGATCAGATAATAATATAGTCTGGGTTCTTTAATTATACTGATGTATGTGTCCATGTGTCTGCACCAGAATTATCATTGACCAAAGTTCACAAACCAAAATGTGCTGCTGTTTTTTCATCTGTCGTACTTCCCATGTGGACACCTCTGCGCTGTTTGTATTTATTTAAACAAACATTTACTAAGTTCAGAACAGGTTTGACTGCTCTGTCTCTCCCTCCCTCTCCCTCTCCGTCTGTCTCATTCATTCTCTATCTCTCCCATTCTATTTCTTTCTCTTTTTTTTTTATCTCCCCACTCTCTCTTTTCCTACCCTCCCTCTCTCCGTCTGTCTGTCTCTGTCTGTCTCATTCACACCTTTTTCACTCTTCCCTCACTCCACTCCTCCGTGAGTAATTAACTTTTTGAAGTCTCTAAGCTGTAGTTAAAATTCTCAACCCTGTAATTATCGTGTTAATTATTTTATGAAACAGGTTGTCCGTACGTTTGAATGTGACAGTGTTGTTATAATGTTAAAAACAAAGCAGAAATGTATTTTTGTGACAGTAAATTTATGAGAAAGTTGCACAAAAAATACATGTTCCATTTTAGATCAAAGCATGTTATACATACTCAAGTAAGTGTAATGTTACTTCAAAATACTACATGTTCAAATATTTTAGTCAAGTAAGAACTGAAGGATTGGAACTTCACTGCAAAAACTAAAATTCAGCCAAGTTAAGATGACTTGAATTAAGGAAGTTTGATCATGAATTGAGTAAATTGAGTAAAATGATCTGCCAATGGAACCAGACTTTTTGTACTTAAAATATGAAAATCCATCTTACTGCACTGAAGATAAGAAAAAGAACTACTCTTTGCACTTTAAATAAGAAACTAAACCAAATCTTGCTTGAATTAAGACAGATAATGTTGCTTGTCAAGTTAAATCTACTCAAATCAAGTCAAATGTTTTTAGTTTAAGTCATTTCAGCCCAGTCAGAAGTTGTTTTTTGCAGCATTTAAAATATTATTACTCAAATTAAAGTAAGTTCGCACAACAAAACTGCTCTTAATAGTCCTCTGTCCCCCTCCCCCTCCGCTAAACCCCTCCCCCCCTCTGTCCTGGGACGTCCCATGTAATCCTTTTGTGGGCGGGGCTTGAGGACAGAAGGGAGGAGGACGGAGGAGGAGAAGAGAGCTGCTGCAGACACACACACACACACACACACACACACTCACACTCTCAGTCCAGTTCTATAGCCGCACGTATAGAGCAGCGCGCCGCCGGGCATCGTGGGACATATCTGGGGGTGTTTTTGTGTGGGTTTTTGACTGGTATGTTGACATGCAGGAGACGGAGGAGCTGATGGAGGACTGGGCCGGGTGCCTGTCCGACCTCAAGACCATGAAGGTGGATCTGTCCCAGTTTATCATGGCAGAGGATGAGCTGCTGCTCCAGGAGCAAGTGGACTTTCTACATCTGCAGTGGGACGAGCTCTGTGTCAAGGTGAGGAGGCGAGGGACGAGCTCAAGACCAGTTTAAGACCTGAGGTAGTCCTGGTTTAAGTCCAGTTTAAGACATGGTCAAGGCCTGTTTTAGACCAGGGTTAGTTCTGCTTTAAGTACTGCTCTAAACCTGGTCAAGTTCATGGTTTAGACCTGGGTTAGTCCTGGTTTAAGTACAGTTTGAGACCTGGTTAAGTCCTGGTTTAACTCCTGTTTTAGACCAGGCTTAGTCCTGTTTTAAATCTAATTCTAGACCTGGTTAAAGTTCATGTTTTAGACCTCGGTTAGTCTTGGTTTAAGTACAGTTTGAGATCTGGTTAAGTCCTGGTTTAGACCTGAGTTAGTCCTGCTTTAAGTCCAGTTCTAGACCTGGATTAAATTCATGTTTTAGACCTAGGTTAGTCCTGGTTCAAGTCCAGTTTGGGTCCTGGTTTCATTCTTGTATTAATCCTGGGTCCATCTGGGTTTAGTCTTGGTTTAGACTCAGATTAGTCCTGGTTTTAACTACGGTTTTAAACCTGGATTAATTTTGTGTTAGATATGGATTGGTCCTGGTTTAGTCCTGATTTAAGTCTTGCTTCAGGTCTGGGTAAATCTGGGTTGAAGTCCAGTTTAAAACCGGGGTTTGTCCTGTTTTAATACTGATTTAACACATGTTTAATTGAGGTTTAGTCCTAGTTAAGTCCTGGCTCAAATGCTGTTTGAAGCCTGTGTTAGTCCTGATTTAGTCTTGATTTAAATCTTGTTCTAGTCCTGGTTTAGTCCCATTTTAGTCCTGGTTTAAATCATGTTTAGATAATGGTGAGTCTTGGTTGAAAGATGTAAATATTGTCTTCGGTGTTGTGTTTAAACATACTAAATACTGATTCAAACTAGTTCTGGACTTGCATTTAGTCCTGTTTTAGGCTTAGGTTAAAGAAGTTTTTCCAAACTGAACTAATACTGATGACAGAACTTTAATCTCTTATCAATATTAATGTTTATTGTTCCTAAAAACTTGATCTATATTTTGGTTGGAGATATTGGGCTTGTTAAAACACACAAGGCTTTTGACTTGATTTAAAGTCCTCGTTGTCTCAGATGTTGTTTTTTTGTGCTGTTTTATCACCTTTAGTCCTTGTCCAGTTGCTTTAGAGTGGATATTATTCTGTTACAGTTTCAGTGTCGTGTCTGTGCTGACTCCAGTTGAATATTTCCACTGTGAGTTCTTTTGTCCTAAACCTTGTCATTTCACAGCTGGAGGTTTAAGTACAGGTTTACCGCTGTGTTTTGGCTCCTGCTTCTGGGCTTAACCTGGTTCAGGCTTTGACTTTACATCTAGACCAGTGGTGGAAGAAGTACTCAGTATTGTTACTTAAGTAAAAGTATCACATGAAAGTAAACATAGAAAAGTGTCTCTTTAAAAATGTATTTAAAGAGTAAGAGTAAAAGTATTTTGCGCTGATTTTTAGATCTAGAAAAGCTACAATGGAATCGATAATTTATTCTGTTTATTTGTTGTTATATTTTTCTTTGCTCAAACTACACCGTGTTACAAATAAACCCTCGGCCTTTTCAGCAGGTCTCACACTATGATAAAAAAAACTTTACTTTTCAGTCCTGTTCAAAAACGTATTAGAGTAGAAAGTACAAATAAGTGAGCTGTGCAATTAATCACATTTTAATGGTTCAGTCATTTCTAATCGTTAATGATCAGCCGGGTGTTTTCATGTGGTTTGGATCAAACACAAGACATTAGAGGAAGAAATGTGACTGTTTTTTGTGTGAATAATTCATAAAAGTCTGTATTGTTTATGTTCAGAAAATCAAAATCAAAGCAAAAATCAGTCTGATCTATGGGTTTCAGATTGATTAAAAAATACTGTTGCCGTAGTTATAAACAACTGAAAACACAATATTGCTCTGCCCTGGTGTTTACACTGTCAGAACCTTTAAATGTGTGTGACACCTTTAGAGAGCTGCTCTGAAGTTAAAGATGATGTTAATGTTGTGGTTTGGGTTGGTCTCTGTTTGACCTTTAACATTTGAATGGGACATTTCCATAGAGACACAGACAGCAGGTCGTGTGTCGGAGCAGATGTGACGACAAAACCAGGACAAGTGCTGATCTAGAAATCTGTCACTAATGTTATATATATGACTTTTAAGTTTAGTCCTTGTTTAGTTCTGGTTTAGCTCTTGTTTTAGACCTGATTTAGTCATAGTTTAGTCCTGGTTTAGCTCTTGTTTTAGTCCTGGTTTAGTCCTGTTTAGCTCTTGTTTTAATCCTGGTTTAGTTCTGGTTTAGTTCTTGTTTTAGACCTGGTTTAGTCCTGCTTTAGTCCTGCTTTAGTCCTGCTTTAGTCCTGGTTTAGTCCTGGTTTAGCTCTTGTTTAAGTCCTGGTTTAGTCCTAGTTTAGTCCTGGTTTAGTCCTGGTTTAGTCCTAGTTTAGTCCTGGTTTAGTCCTGGTTTAGTCCTGGTTTAGTCCTAGTTTAGTCCTGGTTTAGTCCTGGTTTAGTCCTGGTTTAGTCCTGGTTTAGTCCTGGTTTAGAAGTAGAAATCACTCACT